GGGCGGGCGGGCCCCGAGATCGGCCGGGCCGCCGCTGCCGGGGTGAGAGGCCGCCGGAATCAGCGGTTATTTATCAGCGCAGCGCTTTTTCCTTTCCATTTCCTAGTTGCCTGGGTGCCGCTGAGGCGACTGGGCGCGTCTTGGTGCATGAAAATATGTTTTCCGCATGAAAATATATTTTTCGGCTTGCTTTTCCCAGGACAGCAAAGGTAGCGGCGGCTTTACAAGGGGCTCTGAAACCTCTTTGGCTCCAAAACACCTTCAGAGCGTGTTTCCACGTTATCTGCTTGGCCCTGCTGCTGACAGTGACTTTGATGTAGATCCCACAAATTATACTTGGGTGGAGGGGACTGAGCAGGAGCAAACAGAGCAATATTTCTGTAAGGAAGTGGTGAAACGAACAGACCGTTCCTCTTGTATAGGAATGTGAAAAAATTACAGTCTTACAAGAAGCACTGAGTTTCACATAACAAATTCACAGGTAGTTCCTTAGACACCAGTTACTGACAAAAAATCCACTGCTGGTTAAAAAATCCACTGCTGCGCCTCATTAGCTGACAGTGACTTTGATGTAGATCCCACAAGTTATACTGGGTGGAGGGGACTGAGCAGGAGCAAAGAGAGCGATATTTCTGTTAGGAAGTGGTGAAACGAACAGACTGTTCCTCTTGTGTAGGAATGTGAAAAAATTACAGTCTTACAAGAAGCACTGAGTTTCACATAACAAATTCACAGGTAGTTCCTTAGACACCAGTTACTGACAAAAAATCCACTGCTGGTTAAAAAATCCACTGCTGCGCCTCATTACATCATAAAAATATGACATGTAGCTTTTTGCTTTGTTCTTGAGCATTCTGGAGTGGGGCATTAAGGCTCGTAGATCTTCAGGGATCCTAGAGTTTGGAGCCTGCTTTCTTTTTTCCCTTCAGCTGTCAAATTCAGCCTCCTTATGGCAACATTCATTGTGAAACAAGCAGATAAAGCTTTAAAGGTGCAATTCATCCCTCAGTTAATGTTTCTTCCCTTCAGCTGTCAAATTCAGCCTCCTTACAGCAACATTCATTGTGAAACAAGCAGATAGAGCTTTAAAGGTGCAATTCATCCCTTAGTTAATGTTTTAGCATTGTTTGTAAGGAGTATTCTAGGACAGAATTCAGAGTAGGCCTAGAACTTTGATATATACGAATTTCATTTTTTTAAGTGTGAGTTTACCAGTGCTTTAAAATAAAGAAACAAATCAATCTAGCAACAAAATTAATTCCTTCCACCCCCCCTCAAGCCTCCCTTTATTCTCTGTAGGTGTATTCTAGGTGAGCACAGGGATTCATTTAAGGTCTACCCTGTTGTTTGCTTCAGTGCATCCTGCTGCCACTTCTCCGGGTTAACGGCAGGGCCGAGCTGGTTCCCCCTCGGATGCTTTCCCCATTTTAGAAGCGGGAAGTGCTCTCTGGCTGCAGGGCTGGGGGCCACCCGAGATGGCAGGAAGTAGCTGGGTTTGCAGAAAGTCTTATTTTCGTGCTTCTGCAAATGAACATCCTGCCACTTTGCTGACGCCGCTTTGAAACGAGGCGACTCTTAACGACAAAGAGCGGTACCGACGCTCGTTCTAAATGTCAAGCGAAGCCGCAGCCTGTTGCCTGCACTCCACGCCTGATTTTTCAACAGTTTGACTTAAATGCTTTGTATTTTATTGCCCCAGAGGAGAGGCAGGGCCAGGGAGACTCTCTAAAGGGGAACGCTTTCACTTGCAGTGTTTGCTTTGGTTATGGCTGGTTGTGTGATAGCACCCGATTGAAATGCAGAGTCCATTCTGTGTTGATTTAATTTTATTCATCCTTCCAAGTGGAAGAATTTGCACAAGACTGTAAATACCTCTCCAGCAATACTTGTCTTTTCACAAGGATGTTTATGAGAATCCGTTGATCCGAAGTCAGCCTGTTAAAACAGTGGTCCCTTTTATGAGGGTTCCATGTACAGTTCAATTCTGCAGCCACAACATTGTTGCCTGAATTTATAAGATACTAAATTTTATGTTTTTTTAAGGGCCTCATTCTTTCATATGTTGAAGCAACTTATGAAAAGGAATCTGTTCATCTGGGGAGTTAATTTGCAGGATGTAATCTCTTGCAGCCCTCCCACTGAAAGGCACCACGGCATGAAGTGCTCCGTGTCTGAGCGCTGCAGCACGGTCTGACGTGCTGGTGCTGGCACTTAGACCTGTGATTTCTTGGAGAAGCACACGCTGTGATATCAGAATCTTTCAGCCATTTAGGGCTGACTCTCAGACAGCAAGAGCTACATTTTTAGGATTGCTGTACATACCAACCTTACCTAAAAGCAGAAAATGAGGAGAAAACAGTTTGACACGGTGTTGTATCAACTACATGTTACCGACTTTATAGTTTTTCATTTATGTTGTATAATTACTCAAAGCGTGAAGAATGTATATATATTCTTTGAAATAGATGCTAATTTGGAAAATGATCTATTTTTATCTGAAGCTCAATCCAGTTAAGGCAGAGTTGTTACTTGATACTGTTGGAATAAGAAATATACCCTTTGTTTGGGAAGGTGTTTATTTCCTTCCATGGCTTGCTTTAAATCATTATGCGACAAACAATACAAACAGCATTTTCTAATTAAAACGGGGAAGACTGTTGAGAAAAGCAAGTTATTTCCAGCTCTGGTAGTAATTCAGCTGAAGTAGTTGGATGGATACACACTCCTTTGTTTAACTGCTCAAAATGAAAAGTAGAAAAAGTAATCAGAGTTGTAATGAGCGCTGTTCTGCATCATCTTCAATAAATGTCTAGTTGAGCAAGAAAGGCTTATTGTGTGGCTTTGTTAGCTGTGCTTGTTGGAAGAAATGTGACATTTTTATTATTCTAAGGGAGAGGTTTCATTTTGTGACATTTCCTGTTTCAAGTTGTCCAAGATGATTCTATTCCCTTTGGTCCTGTAAAAACCATTAAAGGATTTGATTATGAAAACCATAACCTCTTACTAGTTTTAACAGAATCAATACCTCAGCCACCTAAATTCTAACAACGGGCACATGTAAATTGCGTTTCAGAACACAGTGCAGGTTTAGTACCTTTGAGAAGAGAATGGGGTTTTTCCTTTTCCAGCTTCAAAGCTTGCAGATATTCAGATATTTCCCTTACGGTTGGCCTTTCAGTTATTTTTTGTTACTCACAGTTCCAGATTCCGTAATTCTTCCACTACTGTGACAGTTCATGTCCGGGCTGCAGCAGAGTTTCCAACAAAATGCTACTTCAAGATCAGAGGAGTAACATGCCCCAGAATGGCACAGATGGTGTGTTTGCTGCTCAGGGTTAGAAGGGCAGCATTAGAAGACAATTAAGAAGAAAAAAAAATTAAAAAATCACCTGCTGAAGTGTGGCTGGTTTCATTTGGAGGCTCTGTCTGACCTCCTGGGTTCATTGTGGCACTTTCCATCACCTCCCTCATTGCTGTCAGTTCCCAGCTTTATACTTCTCCATCCCCCTTTCTGCACTCCGAGCGCATCAGTGGCTTTTCCAAGTCCATGAGGCTTAATTAACTTTGGAAGCAGTCTCATGACAGTTTGTGTAATTGATTTACTGCTCCATTTCTAGAGGGATCAACCTTTCCTCCCTCACACGCTGTGTGCCACGAGGCAGTAGCGTCTCCTCAGCAGCAAATGAGCTGCACCCCAGGGAAGTGCAGTGTGTGTCACACAAACCTTTGCCCATGTGGTTGTGCCGTAGGTTACCACCCAGATAGTGTCACTTTTCCTGCAGTGCCCTCTTACTCTCTCTGTACCTTGGCATTTAGGTTTCTGATTACTGGCAAGGAGCAGGAAAAAGCATTGTTTAGGAGTGTCCCCAGGAGGAGTGGCTGGCCAGCATTCCTGGTCTTTAAATAGGTTAGTGAGGTGCAGGTTGAGCAGTTCCCATTCCTGCAGGTGCCCAAGTGAAGTTTGTATTTCTTCCTGAGTGCACGTGGAATTCTTCTGCTCAGTTACACTGAAAAAAAAATCTGGTCTTACCAAGACTATTTCCATTTTGACAAGGCATGTCTAGATTTCTCCCTAAATCTGGCACTTCTGTTACTGTCAGGGTTGGGTTTGTTGGTGAATTGCTTCAGTATCGGTTGCAGTACGTATGAACTCAGCAAATTATCTTTTATCTTTAGTTTAATTACTTTTCTTCTTCATTGTAGGTGCGTATAGCTGCAAAATTCATCACTCATGCACCCCCTGGAGAATTTAATGAAGTATTCAATGGTAAGTAAATAAGGAAAAACGATGGGTGGTGTTTCCCTCACATTTCATCTGGTAGAATTGTCTAAGGCTGTGCCACAATACACTGCTTTTAAGGTTAAGAAGTGGTGAGGGAAAAGCGTGCTGTCATTCTGTGACTACGTATGCTTAATGAAACGATTCAATCATTTCAGTGTTTGCATTTTACACTTGAAATACATAAAGAGAAACATTTGATGAAAAAGCCCAGTAACCTACCGGAGCTCTCTCTTCTCCAGATGTGCGGTTATTGCTTAACAACGACAATCTTCTCAGGGAAGGAGCAGCACAGTGAGTACTGGTATTTCACACACAGGTCAAATTACCCTCAGAGATGCATATATTTTCTTACGTCCATCCTTCTGTGAAAAAGCCAGCCATTTGTTGTATTGAGAGCAATCTTCTGCAATTCCTAATCTTCCCAACCAAATACATAATGAAAGGCGTGAATTATTCTTTTTAAAAGCCCTAAATTGGAATTTGTGCTGTAGAGGCTGCATAAAACTGACAGGAGGGCACTCTGCCAAAAGGGTTAACTCTGCAGCAACAGGAATGTCTTACCTTGTTTGAAGCATGATTTGAAAAGCAAAGAAAGCCTGAAATGCTGAGTAATGGTGAGTAAGCTGCAGTTTAGAAAAAGGACTGCCCTCAAAAAAAAACAACTAAACTTTCAAAATATCTTGTTTACTTGCATAGACTCATTAGAAGGTGCCTAAAGGTTATGCAGACAAGCTTTTTGATGCTAAGGTTTTACTTCAAGCCAGGTGACATATCACTCAGCTGGCCTTTACATAAGAAAATTGTTCTAAATATTAGTCTACTCATTTGTTTATCTTGCTACTGTCTGAAGTGGAGCTGCGGTGTTCCTGGTTTGCCTTGGCTTGCTCATATTCCCCCAGGCTGCTACTGTTCTACTTTTGAACTCTGTACTTTCCTAATCATCATTAAATAAACCTGGCTTTAGACCTGGGGTTTTATAGCTATCATAATAAAAGGTATTGAAAAATCCTTCAAGAGTCCTCACGTGTATTATTTGCCAAATTGAGTTGAAATTTTCTGTAATATAAATCACACCTTATTCACACATACTTATTCTTGAGTCAAAATAAATATGCATGTACAGCTAAAGTTCATGTTCTTTTAATTCTTAACAGTGCATTTGCACAGTATAACATGGATCAGTTCACTCCGGTGAAGATAGAAGGGTATGATGATCAGGTAAGAGAAAACTTTTTACACTTGAGCTTTGAATTACTACGCTGTGCAAAACCAGTAAATATGTTTTTACATCAAGATCCTAACTAGTTTCATTCTGTCACAAGTTATCACCTGCAAAACCAGTAAATATGTTTTTACATCAAGGTCCTAACTAGTTTCATTCTACCACAAGTTATCTCCTCTCCTCCTTCTCCCACACACCATTATATCACCCCACTTTTGTTCTTACAGAAGCAGCATAGGTGAAATGTTCTCCTAAAGTATTCTCTGATCCTGCCCCATAACTCTAGTTCATTGTTCCTTAAGCAAAGCTCCGTGCTGAAGTCACTGGAATTCTGTTTAGAGTATGAATGAGTAAAGATTAGTGTGTATTTAAGGCTCCTCTACAACTCCTTATGTTGCTGCCTGCTTACAGTTCCTGCTGACACCCAGTAGTAGGTTCTACTAATGTTTCAATAGATTCTCTCATTCCTGCAGAAGATGAAAACCAGGCCTGAGCATCTGTCCTGTTCTCTGAGCCCAGCATTGGCTGGTGGCCCACGTTTGTTCATGGAGGCAGAGGCTTTGAAGAGGGCTCTCCAGAGAAAGAGCTTTGACAAGAGAAAGTTTGAGTCCTCAGCCTCACTGCAACTACCCTTGGTTGAAATTGTTACTGACAATCCCTATTTATTTATGGATATTAGACCTTAATGAGAGAATCTATTGAAACATTGGTATCTGTTCAGGTAGGGAAAAAACAAACCACCACATTTACAGCAACATAAACATGTCTTAATTTCAACTTACTTTGCAGGTCTTAATCACAGAACACGGTGATCTGGGCAATGGCAGATTTTTAGACCCGAGGAACAAACTTTCTTTTAAGTTTGATCATTTAAGGAAAGAAGCGAGCGACCCCCAGCCTGAGGAGACAGAATCAGCTCTAAAACAATGGAGGGATGCCTGCGACAGCGCCCTGAGAGCTTACGTGAAGGATCATTACCCCAACGGCTTCTGCACTGTGAGCATCCACCCCCTTTCACCACAGTTTGTGGTCCCACACGTGTGGGCAGCACTGCTTGAATTCCTCCCCACTCACTCCCTGGCAGGTCTCCTAACTTTGGAATAACAACTTCCAAAGAGGGGGCAAATACCGTGGCGTGCACACAGTTGTAAAGATATATTACACCTTTTTTTCATAGTCAGGACTGCCAAGCACCTTAACACCTGCTATAATTAAAAAGAGGCATTATTTGCACATCTGTGGGAGTGGAGGTGTTGGATAGTCTAATTAGTGGTCCCTGTTCCCAGGGAGATCCCACAACAACAACCCTCCACAGCGCTGCCAAGAACAGACATTTAGAATGGCTTTCCTCAGCTCTGGGCCTTTTTAACTCTTTTTCTAAATACAGGTTTATGGTAAATCTATAGATGGGCAGCAGACAATTATTGCCTGTATCGAGAGCCACCAGTTCCAGCCCAAAAACTTCTGGTAAGACCATTTCAACACGGTGTTATTTTCTTCCTTTACGAGTCGTCAAACAAACCCATCCCCTGTCTTCTGACACAGTCCGAAGGGAAAGTAGCTTTGGGCTTCCCAAGAACTTCTGCTTCTCATTCTGTAGCTGTTTGCCTTGCACCCCCTTGGTGTTTCCCTCAGGCCTTCAGTGTGGCTCAGTGGCCTGTGCAGAGGTGGGGCGTGAGTGGAGTTGGATACTCCCTTACCTGTTCCAGGGCACAAGTAACTAGAGCCTCAGGACTGAGGCTGCTTTGTATTCACCCTGCTTCTCACATTTGATTCAATGCCACAGAAAGCACTAGAATATTGGTCATAAGACAACAGAACAAACAACTGGCTCTTGTTAATTTGATTTTTTTTGTTGTTAGAACAACAGAACAAACAACTGGCTCTTGTTAATCCGATTTTTTGTTGTTAGGGCTTTTTGGAAGTACGGTTTTCAAGCTTTGGTTGTTTTTAGGAATGGTCGCTGGAGATCAGAATGGAAGTTCACCATCACCCCACCAACAGCTCAAGTGGCCGCAGTGCTCAAAATCCAGGTGAGTTCCTTTCCCTGGCAGTGACAGAACTGCACTGCTGCTCTTACACTGGTGCATTCAGCTCAGAGCAGGACGCTGAAATACAGCTGAGATGTTCTTCTCAAGTCAAGATGTTGTTAAACTATGCAATCCAAGAAATTAATTGTTAAAATGAGTGTTTCAGGCACAGCGTACAGTCTGGCCTGTGGCTTAGTATTTGCCTCCGAGTCTGCTTCACTTTCTAGGGCTAAAACCTATTCCATGAATTCTTTTGTAATTGCTCTTATTTCAACTCTAGGCGTTTACTGCATTAACATAATCTTGAACAGTCTTGACAAAGAATGAAACCTTTTAGAAAACCCATCCTGCTTTTAGTCTCCACGTAAGCAGAGAAGACTGGCACGACGGTGCTGTTGTGCCGTTCTGGGAGCGTTTGGGGGCTGTAGGGACTCTGAAAGGATTGTTAGTGATAACCTGCACCCTGTCTTTTTCTGCAGGTGCATTACTATGAAGATGGCAACGTTCAGCTGGTTAGTCATAAGGACATCCAGGACTCTGTACCAGTTTCAGTAAGTTGTTAAAAGACTTTTTTTTTTTATGTTAAAGCAACTATTTTGTTCGTTAAACGTCTCATGAAGCATACACTGCAATGATTACATTCTCTTGCCTTTAAAGCAGTGTAATTTTAGTGTAGTTGTTTAGAGTCACACAGGAAACCCAGATTCTCAAAGAGAGAATCTTAAAGAGAGATTCTTAAAGAGAGAATCTATTAGAAAGTTTAAGGGGGCAGAATGTGCTTTTCTATCTGTGTGTAAGGGAAAGGAATAGTGAGAGCAGAGCACGAAGTACCACAAGTGCTGTGGTACAGCAGAGGGAGCAAGAGTCACCAAATCCCTCACATCCCTCATCCCTACTCTCCTCCACTCACTGGGGTTTGGTCCCGTCCCCTGAGAAGAAATCTATTGTGTAGCTTTTGTAAGTTGCTCTGAAACATAGAAAAATGTCTTTTTCCCCTTTACAGAGCGATGTCCAAACAGCGAAGGAATTTATTAAGATAATAGAAAATGCAGAAAATGAGTACCAGGTAAGATGAGTGGTCCTCAAATAAATTTGATGGAATCGGTCTCCGTTTACAGTGAGTGGAAACACAGGAAATTGGCCTCTAATTCTGTTTCTGGTATTGACTGTAAGAATTACTTAGAAAAATCGGTCTCCGTTTACAGTGAGTGGAAACACAGGAAATTGGCCTCTAATTCTGTTTCTGGTACTGACTGTAAGAATTACTTAGAAAAGGGCAGTAACATTTGTCTAAAGAATATAGCGGTAAAGCTACATGTCATTAATAATCGTTTGCAACATAGAGGGTTACAAATGATGCCTGGAACGAGCATGGAAGGGCAGTGGGTGAGTCTAAACAAAGGTTTTCCTCTGTGACAGTTAAAAAGGTGGTTGAGGCCCCATCCCTGGAGGTGTTCAAAAGACGGGTTGATGTAGTGCTGGGAGGTCTGGTTTAGTGATGATGCTCCTTGTTTGTTGTGTGGGTGTCTATTTTTGTCAGTTAGGTTGACGGTTGGACAAGATGATCTTTAAGGTCCCTTCCAACCTAGAAGATTCTGTGATTCTGTGTGATGGCTTTTGGTGCTGTCCCAGCCTGCGTGCGAGGGGATGGGGCACCGCTAACTCAGGGGAACACCTGAGACACTGCTCCACTCACAGGGGATTTAACAGAAGCCCTTTACTTGCACCCACGCTGGCGACTGTGTTATTAATTTAATTACTAGCCTGCCTTCACCTTGGAGAAGGCATGGGGTGGCACATTGTGCTCTTTCAGTGTCCCCTCACTGCCCTGACAGAGTCTCCTTGCCCTTGCAGACAGCCATCAGTGAGAACTACCAGACCATGTCTGACACCACCTTCAAAGCCCTGCGCCGGCAGCTGCCCGTCACCCGAACCAAGATCGACTGGAACAAAATCCTCAGCTACAAGATTGGGAAAGAAATGCAGAACGCTTAACGCAGAAATCAGGAGATTTAGGAAATGTTTGTGTGCAAAAAAAAAACAAATGTGGTCCTATGCCAAGTAGATGGTTTCTGAACCAGTGCAGCATTTTTTTCCAGGGCTTTCAAAGTTACCAGGTTTTCTGGCCTCGGAGGGGACTGTGGAACAAATAGCTTTTTGTCTTTGTGTTTTGTGTTTCCTGCCACGTAAACTTCCTATTTGTGACTGCATTGATCGATCGGTTGGTTTAATTAAGTCCATGGGTCAGAAGTAGAGCTGTTCTCAGTCACCCGTTGTGCTGGTTGGAAAACTTCCTAACTGGAAAAGCCCTACGATAACCCGAGCTGAGGGTGCAGAGCATCCCCTGGCCCCCCCCCATCACTCCAGGTACTCCCTGTGTCCCCCAGACCCACCGAGGGCTGAGAAACACCAGGGAGGGTAAATCCTCACCAACCGGTACCGACCTCCGCAGAGCAGAGCCCCCAGGCTTAGGTTTTACTCTAGAAAAATGAGTTTACAAGACCCTTTACAGAAATCCCCAGCTCTTTCAGGGATGGAATGTTTTGGTTTCTTCCCCCTGCCCCCCCCCCATCACTCCAGGTACTCCCCGTGTCCCCCAGACCCACCGAGGGCTGAGAAACACCAGGGAGGGTAAATCCTCACCAACCGGTACCGACCTCCGCAGAGCAGAGCCCCCAGGCTTAGGTTTTACTCTAGAAAAAATGAGTTTACAAGACCCTTTACAGAAATCCCCAGCTCTTTCAGGGACGGAATGTTTTGGTTTCTTTTTCTTTTTTTTTTTTTAATCTGAAGATTTGAGCCATGTTCCCCAGAAGTGAACACTTCCGCTCCCCCCCTCCTGTGCGTACGGTTATCAGACATCTGCATTTTTTGCAGAGCTGCAGGTTCCTGTGTCGAATCACTGCTGATCCGTGTAGGCTGGATGGTGATTAAAAATGCAAATGTCTACAGAGTACTAGGTATGTTGTGCTTTAATGCTTTGTGGCAGGTTCCTGGAATTTGTATCACAGGTGTATGGATGGATCGTGTACAAAATAAATAAACTTGCACCAAAGTGAGAGGAAAAAAAGCCTCCCATTTTGTCTCAGTTTTGGCCAGTTTCATGTCATATTTAAAGGGGATTTTGGGATTAATCTTTTAATTGCTAAATGCTTGCTCTGCATTTCTTCTTTTCTGTAGGATCAGAAATCCCAGTCCTACCAGTTCTCTTAAGGGGAGGTCAGAGGGGGACGCGTGTCCCTTCCTCAGGCCATGGATTTGCTGCAAAGTGACTCCCTTTGGTGTGGTTCCTTCACTTTGTTCTCACCTGGTTCTCTCTGGGCCTCCCTGCAGGTTCTGGCTTTTAAACTGCCCTGTTTCTGCCTATTTTTAAATACAGGAAGGGGCTGGGGGAGCAGGGTTGGGGTGTGTGTGGGTGTGCACAGGGACGCCTGCACGCTACGCTGCGGGTTGTGCACAGCAACACCACAAAATAACTGTCTCCTCTGCCAGGAGTTGTGTCCATCATTAAGTCCCTTTGTACTTGCTGTTGAGACCCACAGGCATCATCTGCACTGAACCCTCCCACAGAAGCACAGAACTCCCTTCTAATGCCATTTGTGTCCCTTCTTTCCTGCTCCAGCTGCTCCTGGCTCCCGAGGAGGGGGATCCCCAGGTCCCTGCCCCACAGCGGGTGCTACCACCCCGGCGTGTGGGCAAGTGGGGCTCCCAGAACTTCCCAATTAAAAGAACCAGAGTAACTTGGCTCTAAAGCAGCACTTCACCCGAGGGAGGGCCACAAGGATGATCAGGGGGATGGAGCACCTCTGCTACGAGGACAGGCTGAGGGAGCTGGGGTTGTTCAGCCTGGAGAAGAGGAGGCTCCGGGGAGACCTTATAGCGGCCTTTCAATACCTGAAGGGAGCCTACAGGAAGGCTGGGGAGAGCCTGTTTAGAAAGGCCTGCAGTGACAGGACGAGGGGCAATGGCTTCAAGCTGGAGGGGAACAGATTTAGACTGGAGATGAGGAGAGGGTTCTTCACTGTGAGGGTGGTGGAGCACTGGAACAGGTTGCCCAGGGAGGGGGTTGAGGCCCCTTCCCTGGAGATATTCAAGGAGAGGCTCGACGAGGCCCTGGGCAACCTGGTCTAGTTGGGGGTCGGACTAGATGGCCTTTGGAGGTCCCTTCCGGCCTGGGCAATTCTATGATTCTATGAAAGCAGCAGAGGGGTCACTGCCCCCATTGCCTGTGGCACCCACCCGGGGAAGCTCTCGATGCCGGGTGGATCCTGCAGGACCTGCCCCCGGGGGGGTTTGCACCGCAAAGAGCTGCTCAAGGACAGGGCTGGTGCCAGCCTGTGTTTGTAGCAGGGGTTTCCTCCCTGCCAGCAGCACCCGAGGGGATGAAGGTTGTGTGGGGATGAAGGTTGTGGGGATGAGCACCTGAGGTGCTGCGGTCTCGGTCGGTCCGTGGCCCCGCTCCCATCCCGACAAGGGCTGCAGCAATTCCAAGAATGTGAGGCTGAAGATAAGGCTTCGCACACAACAGGCCCTTTATCTGCCTCAAGGCTAGTCCTTTCCCGCTCCGGGCTACGCTGCCAGGAGCTCACCGCCACCTCTTCCAGCCTTAAGACAGTTTCTATCTCTTTGTCCTTCTCCAAATCTTTAGCTAATCACGCTCAGACTGACTCATTCCCCGTCTGCCTCCTCGCCCTTCTCCCCTCCCCCACAGCCTGCTCCCTGCCAGGCTCAGCTGCCCCCATCCCAGCCCCTTCCCAGCTCCTCTTTCCGTTGCTGTGGAAAAGCAATCCTTGGTGTGACTCTTGGGCAACCCTTGGTGTGACTCTCCGGGGCATCAAGTGCCAGCCCAGCAGTGACACATGCCCAGAGCCATTCTGATCCTCAAAGCCATGGGCTACTGCCCGCCAGCCCAGACAGTGCCCAGGCCACCCACTGCCCACCAAGGAAGGGGTTTTCCTACCCATTTGCGAGACCAAGGCTTAAGACTCCAGGGTTCTACCCGCAATATGTGATGGAAAGGCTTACACACACAACTTCTCCAAAGGCAACACTCCCATTTTTTCAACCCTCAGAGCCCTCCCACAACCTGCACAGAGCCCTACACCGTCACAGTCTGTCAGCCCCCTCCAGACAGTGGGTCACCAGCAGAGCTCAGGGCAGGGGAAAAGCCACCAGAGCTCAGGTGGGGGAACCAGCAGACTCACCCCAACGTCCCTGGGCCACAGACAAGGCAAAAGCAGCACCAGGAGCCGTCACAGGGTCTGGAGCCGTTTTACAGGGGCAGGTCGAGGGTCACCACCCTCAGTAGGTGAACAGGAGGGTGAAAGCAGAGAGAACCAGAGACAAACACAGAAACCAGCTCTTGCTGCTGCCACCCTGTTTATAGAGCTCCAGGAGCTCCTTCCCCTCATCACCGGCTGGAGTGATGCAGCTCACCTGGGCTGCTCTCCTCCCTGCTGCGAGCTGGTGATCCCCGCTCTCCCAGCCTGGGGACAAGGTGGGGGGGCAGAGCTAAAGCCCTGGAGGGGACCCCCAGCCCAGACCCTCGACACCGAACAGCTCGGTTTCCCCCGGGCCCTGCCACCACCGCCCTTTTGGGCCGGCTGGAGTGATGCAGCTCACCTGGGCTGCTCTCCTCCCTGCTGCGAGCTGGTGATCCCCGCTCTCCCAGCCTGGGGACAAGGTGGGGGGGCAGAGCTAAAGCCCTGGAGGGGACCCCCAGCCCAGACCCTCGACACCGAACAGCTCGGTTTCCCCCGGGCCCTGCCACCACCGCCCTTTTGGGGATGTGGCCGTCCCTTCTGGGGGAGCCCTGCGGGGTGTGTGTGCGTGTGTGTGTGTGCACCCCTCGGGGTCCGGGGATGGGGGAGCCCCCACCCCAGCCGGGGGGATTCCCCGAGCCCCGGGGATGCCGCAACCGGGACCCCCCTCTGCGGGGGTGCGGGAGCCCGGGAGGGGCCGGTGGCTGCGGGGCCAGAGGCTGCGGGGCTAGAGGCTGCGGGGCCGGTGGCTGCGGGGCCGGTGGCTGCGGGGCCAGAGGCTGCTGGGGGCCGGTGGCTGCGGGGCCCTTTCGCTTTCGTTTCCCTGCCGGGACAGCCCCCGTCCGGCCCAGCCCGGCCCCGCCCGGACCGGTACGGCTTGGCACAGCCCGGTACGACTTAGCTCGGCTCAGTTTGACACGGCTCGGTTTGACACGGCTCGGCTCGGCCATGCCGCGGTTCAGCGTGGCGGAAGCCCGGCGCTGGGGGGATCAGTTCGTGCAATTCCTGCGGGACACGGGCCGGGAGCGGGAGAGCCGGCGGGACACGCTGCGGAGCGTCTACACCCAGGAGTTTCGGGTCAGGTGAGAGCCCTGGGCCGGGCCCCCCCCCCCCGCATCACCCCTCACCCCGGCCACCACCAACTGGTCCCTGGCCAGCGCTGTCAGCCCGTGGCTAGCACGACTGATGGCTGACCAGCATGGCTGGGGCTTCAATTTGGGGGGTATGAAGCCAGTTCTGGCCAGGAGCTGGGTGGGAGGGTAGCACTGGGGAGGCACTGGGAGGTGGGGGCTTTTGGGGGCTCTCCTCCATCACTTGTCGGGGTGGGATGGAGAGTGTGTGCTTCCCGAGCAGCTCGGAGACACCTGGACCAGTTCAATTCATAGAATCATAGAATCATAGAATGGTCTAGGTTGGAAGAGACCCTTGGGATCATCGAGTCCAACCATCTCCCCTACTCTACAAAGTCCTCCCCTACACCATGTCCCTCAGCACTGCATCTAAACGGCCCTTAAACACAGCCAGGGATGGGGACTCCACCCCCTCCCTGGGCAGCCTGTTCCAATGCCCGACCACTCTTTCCGTGAAAAATCTTTTCCTAATGTTCAGTCTAAACCCACCCTGTTGGAGCTTGAAGCCATTCCCTCTCGTTCTGTCACTAATTACCTGTGAGAAGAGACCAGCACCAACCTCTCTACTGTGTCCTTTCACGTAGTTGTAGAGAGTGATGAGGTCTCCCCTCCGCCTCCTCTTCCTCAGACTAAACAGTCCCAACTCCCTCAGTTGGGAGGGACAACTTCAGATGCAGGGGCTCCGCTCTCTGCAGGCAGAGAGAAGAGGGAGCAGCATCGCTGGGGCAGCCCGTGTCCCGCTGGGCTGTGGATGTGGTGAGGGGCAGAGCTGCCTCTCTGGATGCCAGCCCTGAAGTGCCCCCAAGTCTCTCCAGCCCAGCCCTGCTGGGATGTTCCCCCCCTGCAGGGACCTGGGGATGGCCTCGGGCACCCTCTGCCCGCCACAGTTCCCCCTTCACCCCACTGACACTGGTCATGCTGGCCCCTGTGCAATGTCACTGCTGTTAATCATTGGCAAAGCTGGGGTCCAGCCCAGCGCAGGCTGGGGACGGTCCCTGGGGTGCGGGAGGAGGTGCCCGGGGAGGGATCACTGAGGGGAGCGCGGTGGCTGTGCTTCAGAGGAGCCCCCATCTGTGCTGGCTCAGCCCCTGGAGGGTGTGGGGACAGGGACGTGTCCCTGCCCTGCTGCCACCTGCACGCTGGCAGGGACAGGGACTGCATGGCCAGACAGCGATGCCGTGACACAGCTGGAATGGCCGTGGCACAGCTGGAATCGCGTGGCGTTGCTGGAGCGTTCTGCAGGGATAATAGATTTGCACGTGGCGGGTGAAAAGCACCGGTCCTTCTCCCTCTCCTGGTGCAGAGGGGAGTCACCGAGTGCCCCCCAGCCCCCAGCTGAGTGTCCCTCAGAGTCCCCTTCACCCTCCCTTCCCCCTCGCCCCCTCTCAGCTGCCCGTGCCTGGCAGCCCAGCCGTGCTCCAGCCATGTAGAACCTCTCTCTCACCCGTGCAGCGTTGACACAAAGATTCCCAACTTCTCCTGCATCTTGTACGCGCTGAGGGTGACCCACCGGGCCCAAGTGTACGGGGAGTCGGTGCACTTCAAGAAGGTGAGGGGGGTCCCGGGCTGGGGGTGTGCAGGGACTCCTGCACCCACCAGGACTGGCTCTGTGGGAGCCCCTGGCCGTGGCTTGACCCCGGGGCCACACTGATCCTGGCTGCTCCTCACAGGAGAAGAAGCGTGTGGTGGTGGCAGACCAGTACCGGAGACCCAGAACGGATGCAGAGGCATCAGCACCGGCGTCAGCACCCGGGTCTGTCTCAGCCCAGCAGCCCAGCACGGGTCCACAAGTGCCCAAGAGCCGTGCCAAGAAGTGGTACGAGTGGCAGGACCCTGCCCACCCCTTCCCTGGCACGGCCCCGGGGACCCCAACCCCGGGAGGGGAAGCTTGACCCTCCCTTCTCACAGGGCTGAGTTCGTCTGCGGGAAGCACGGGGTGGAGATCGTCTCGGAGCACGACCTGGGCAATGGGCACATCCGCTTCCCGGTGGTGGCTGGGGAGCCCCGGACCATCACCATCCTGGTGCGGAACGGCGGGGCGGAGGCGGTGACGCTGCGGCGGTGCCAGCCCCTCCGGCCCCGCCGGGAGCTCTCCTTCACCGACGAACACGGGGTGACCCGGGGCCAGTCCCGGCTCTTCCACCCAGGTAGGACCCTGTCCCCTGTCCCCTGCCCCGCCGGAGAACAGGCAGGAGGACGCATCTCTCACCCCGTTGCCTCGCAGGTGACACCTGCCCCATCCAGGTGCTGGGCCTGACCTCCTGCAACGGGCACTTCCATGCTGTGCTGGTCTTTGAGTTCACCAAGGAGCCGGACCAGCCCTTCAGCATCGGCCGCTCCGTGGCCGCCGTCGCCGAGAGCCAGCTGGCCAAGGACCTGGGGCCCTCGGCGCCTTTCCAGCCCTACCAGGCCAGCCTCCAGCGCCCCGTCACCGTCGTCACTGAGGAGGGTGTTCCCCCCAACAGGTACGTGGTGGGGTCACCTCCTGCCATCCTGCATGGATGGCCCTGGTTGGGACAAGGCTCAGCTCTGCAGAACCCACCTCTCCATCACCCCGGGACAGCACTTCACCCCGGTGTGATGGCTGGTGACAGCAGGGCTGGGGACACGCTGCCTGCCGGGGCCATGGGTGGTGGCACCCCGGGGGGACCCCAGCCCTGCAGTCCCTGTGGCACCGCTGTCCCCTCTGCCCAGCTGCCTGAAAAACGAGCTGGAGAGGGAAATCCCTCTGAACACCTACCAGTACCCGAAGAGCCTCAAGGACACCATCCTGCGCGGACCCAACACCAGCCCTAGCTGGGCTGCCATGCGGTGAGTGCCTCAGGGTGGGGGCAACACGTCCCAGCCCCACACATCCCACCCACTGCCCCTTGACCGAGGTGTCCCTGGGGCACGGTGACGTCCCTGCTGCCCACAGGTCGCTGCTGGAGGCCCCCCTGCAGCCTGAGAACTACCGGGAGAAGTTCAAGCTGCTGCTGCACCTGGAGGAGATCCAGATGGAGGTGGACATCCGACGCTACGACATGCAGGACGTGCCCATGGTGCAGGACAGGGGGCTGCTGGTCCTTGACGTGCGTAGAGGGAGCTGGAGGGGAGGGCAGGAGGGTGCTGGGGCTCCCGGGGTGCCTGGTGTCACTCCGGCCACTCGGTGCAGGTGCCCGGCGTGGCCGAGAACCGCCCGTCTGTGCTGAGGGGGGACCACCTCTTCGTCCACCTGAGCAGCGAGCGGGACCGCTCCCCGCTTGTCCAGTACAAGGGCTACGTGCACGGCGTGGAGCTGGAGAAGGTCAGGCTGGGCTTCTCCTCCAAGTGAGTGGTGTCCGGGGACCTGGCAGCCCTGCTCGGATGCTCCGAAGGGTCGGGGAGGGTGTGAGGGATCATCCCCGTGCCCTGCTCACCCTGCTCACAGTACTCACCTTGAGTACTGTGTCCAGTTTTGGGCCCCCTACCATAAAAAAGACATTGAGGTGCTGGAGCGGGTCCAGAGAAGGGCAACAAAGCTGGTGAGGGGTCTGTAGAATAAGTCTTATGAGGAGAGGCTGAGGGAGCTGGGGTTATTCAGCCTGGAGAAGAGGAGGCTGAGGGGAGACCTTATTGCTCTCTACAACTCCCTGAAAGGAGGGTGTAGAGAGGTGGGGGTCGGTCTCTTCTCCCAAGTCACAGGCGACAGGACCAGAGGAAATGGCCTCAAGTTGCACCAGGGGAGGTTCAGGCTGGATATTAGGAAACATTTTTTCACTGAAAGGGTTCTCAGCCATTGGAATGGGCTGCCCAGGGAGGTGGTTGAGGCACCATCCCTGGAGGTGTTCAAAAGCCAGGTTGATGTAGTGCTGGGAGGTCTGGTTTAGTGATGATGCTCCTTGTTTGTTGTGTGGGTGTCTATTTTTGTCAGTTAGGTTGACGGTTGGACAAGATGATCTTTAAGGTCCCTTCCAACCTAGAAGATTCTGTGATTCTGCTCCTTCCCAGGCTGCAGAAGAAGTTTGTGAACAACCTGAAGTTTGACGTGACCTTCACCTTCAACCGGCTGCCGCTGCAGGTCCAGCACCGCGCTGCAGCACTGGCCATGGAGCAAGGCTTGTCCAGCCTCCTCTTCCCCACTGCCTCCTGCCACAAGTCCCTCTGCACGGGCACCTTCCAGCCTCGGTGAGCCCTCATGCCCATGGGACGGGGACCCAGGAGGTGACAGGGACCCGGCACGCTCAGCCTCTGTTCCTGCAGGTGGTTTGACCGCAAGCTGCAGGCGAACGAGGAGCAGTGCAGAGCCGTGACACACATCGTGACGGGGATGTCCAGGCCAGCCCCCTACCTCATCTTCGGCCCCCCTGGGACTGGCAAGACGGTCACCATCGTGGAAGCCATCAAGCAGGTGAGTGGCTGGGGTCCAGGTGATGGCATCGCTGCCCACCCCGAGAATCGCTGCCCACCCTGGTCCGTGGGGCTCAGCGCCATCACCCCCTCCTCCCACCTAGGTATGGACGTGCTTCAAGGACGCCCGGATCTTGGCCTGTGCCCCTTCCAACAGCGCCGCAGACCTGCTGTGCCAGCGCCTCATCAAGGACATCGCTCCCCGGTACGTCTACAGGCTCATCGCCAGCTCCAGGAACTACCAGGAGGTGCCTGCTGATATCAGGGTAGGTCCCTGCCCCACTGTCCCGTGCACCCTATGGCACGGCCAGGCTGTGCACCCCCCCCAGGGAGAGCAGGATCCCACCCAACACCCGTGTTTCAGCCCTGCTGCAACTGGGATGAAGGGCAGAGCAGCTATGTCTACCCGAGCAAGGAGCACCTGGGGCGCTACCGGATCCTCATCACCACGCTGGTGACAGCAGGAAGGTGGGAGGACCTGGGGGTGTCCCCACTACCCGGGGGTGTCCCCACCACCCAAGGGTGTCCCCACCACCCGGGGATGTCCCGGGCACAAGAGGCTGCCTTGTGCCTTTGTGAGGGCAGCCCCGCTGGGGTGTAGCGGGGAGGGGGGTGGGTGGCAGGGGGGACCCCTCCTCTGCAGTGGCATGAGGGTGAGGGGAGGAAGGACAGCCAGCCGGGGCAGGGACACCAAGGTGGCCTCACTCCACCTCTCCCCCAGGCTGGCGTCGGCCAAATTCCCCCCAGGGTTTTTCTCCCACGTCTTCATCGATGAGTGTGGTCAGGCCGTGGAGCCGGAGAGCGTGGTCGCCATCGCAGGTGAGTGGTGCCCGGCTGCCATCTCAGGGACCAGCATCTCTGTGTGGCCCAGGGACCCCCCCTGTCCCCCGCTGAGCTCTCCTTTTGCCCAGGCCTCCTGACTGCCATGGACGAGAAGACCAACCCCAACGGGGGGCAGCTGGTGCTGGCAGGAGACCCCCAGCAGCTGGGCCCTGTCCTGAGGTCACCGCTGGCCATCGAGCACGGCTTGGGTGAGCGGGGCGAGGGGTGGGAGTGCTGTGGGTGCCTTGGGGGGCCGAGCAGCCTGGCAGGGAGCCATGGGGGTCTCGCTGGGCGCAGGCACCTCGCTGCTGGAGAGGCTGATGCTGCACAACCCCCTCTACAAGAAGTCAAGCGGAGGATACGACCCGCAGTTCGTCACCAAACTGCTCTGGAACTACAGGTGGGGACTTGGGGGGGGGGACAGGTAGGGATGGGGAGGCTCTGCTGAGCGTGGCTCGATGCAGAATCTGGAGGGTGCTGGGGCCACCCGCCAGCCACCCTGGGCACTGTCCTGCCTTTGCCAGGTCCCACGAGGCCATCCTCAGGATCCCCAACGAGCTCTTCTACGACAGCGAGCTGAAGGCCTGCAAGAGCGACGGACCCGATGTCCGGAGTTTCTATTGCACCTGGGACGAGCTTCCCAAAAAAGTGAGGGGGGCAGCAGGGAGGGTGCCCGGGGGGACCCCCGAGCCGCAGGCGGAGCAGAACCCGACGCTCTCCACCTCCAGGGCTTCCCCATCATCTTCCATGGGGTCTGCGGGGAAGATCAGCGAGAGGCCAAGAGCCCTTCGTTCTTCAACACGTCTGAGATCGAGGTGCTCCTCTACTACCTCAAGAAGCTGCTGCAGAGCCGGGGCAAGGGGGGCTGCCCCAGTGTCTCACCCAAGGAGGTTGGAATCATCACTCCCTACAGGAAGCAGGTGAGGGACGTGGCTCTGTGGGCAGGGGACGGGTAAAGACCTCCCCAGGGGACAGGGGGCACTGGGACAATGGGCAGCCCCAGGGCTGGCACACGAGGACAACTCTGTGGTGGCTGGATCATGCTGTGTTCCTCTCCCCAGGTGGAGAAAATACGGAAAGCCATCTACTCCATGGACCCCGTCCTGCGGGCGCTGCCAGACATCCAGCTGCTGAAGGTACAGTCCTGAGTGTGGTGGGGAGAAGAGCCCACCCCATCCCGGGGATGCTCCCCGGCCCCTCACCTCCTGTCCCCACCCCAGGTGGGCTCTGTGGAAGAGTTCCAGGGCCAGGAGAGGCGAGTCATCCTCATCTCCACCGTGCGCAGCTGCAGCAACTACCTCCAGATGGACGAGACCTTCAAGTTGGGCTTCCTCAAGAACCCCAAGGTACCACACTGCCCCGAGCAGACCTGTCAGCTCCCCCCCGGCAGAGCTGCTCCAGGTCCTCTGCACCCCAGTGGGGCTGGGGAGGGATGGAGAGGTGCTGCCACCAGGTAAAGCCCTTGTTTTCTTCTCAGAGGCTGAACGTGGCCATCACCAGGGCCAAGGCGCTGCTGATCGTGGTGGGGAACCCAGCTGTGCTCAGCAAGGACCAGCACTGGCAGAGGTCAGACGATGATCACCAGCCCTTCCCTGGTGCTGGTGGATGGTGCCTGGCCATGCCAGCACCGTGCCAGTGCCATGCCAGTGCCACACAGGCAGCAAGTCTGGTGCCACCTCCTGCCCACGCTCCCCTTGCTCTGTGCCCACAGGTTCCTCAGGTACTGCAAGGAGGAGGGTGGCTACACGGGCTACCCCTATGAGGAGGAGAGCCCTGCAGAGGATGGCCTTGCCACCGGTCTCCAGGCGCTGAGCCTTGGCAATTAGCAGCCAGGTGAGCAGGGTCGGGAGGTACCGGTGGGGCGAGGGGTGGCACAGTGGCCATGCTGCACCAGCACCAAGCTGGGCACAGGTTCCTGTGCGAGGGGCACCAGGAGGCTTCTCCTGCAGCGAGTGGGACGTGGCTCAGGACAGGCTCTTGCTGTCCCCTCCCTGGCACGGGGTCTCTCTGCAGGAAACCCACCTGGGAAAGGAAGAGAAGCCACGTGGAGCTCCAGCACCCATCACCCTGCCCCTGGCCTGCAGCAGCCGCCTGCTCTCCCCCTGCCTCACTCCTGGGGTGCTCTGTGCTCCCTCCATCCCTACGGAGACGGGGCTGAGCCCACCGGGCACGGGGGTCCTGCCCAGGGCACACACCTCCCCTGGCAGAGCGGGACCGTGCCAGCGCTGCGCTGGGACCACTCTCCATTTTAAATAGTTTTTACACAGCCGTGGCAAGCTGATTCCCTGTGCCTGGTCTCACCGTGCAGTGAATGGCATAAGTGAGAGTGTGGCCTCCAAAAAGCATCGCTGGGTGCGTGGGGGAGCTCAGAGCCGCTGCGGTGGGTGACCGGGGTGCGGGCAGGGACCTGGTGGCTGGGTTTCCCCACCACAGCTGTCTGGCCCGAGAGCTGGCACGGCCACACAGTCACACTTCACTTTGTTTCCCTGGAATAAACGTTTAGAGAAAAAGCAGTGTATTGCTTTTGAGTCCTGGGCCCCTTCCCAACCTGCTCCAGGATGGTCACAGAGGAGGGAGGGCTCCAGCAGTGATGGCAGTGCCCGTCACACCAGGGGCTGGGTACGGCTGGGGATGCCCACCCGGCCCTCCCCATGTAAATTGCTCCCTGGGTCTTACCCAAGCACAGGGTGATGAGCCCTCATTCCACACCGAGCCCTGATCCTGCTCCAGCAGCTGAAGCAAGAGGTGCTGGGGGCCAAGCAAGCCCCCCCACCCACAGCACATGGACCCAGCCCCCAGGCAGCAGCCTGGACCAGCCCAGGGGCTTGGACAGCCGGAAGGATGCCACGCGAAGGGAGTTACAATTCCTAAAATACCATTTGCATTTATTCTCCCCATGACGCAGTTCAGTTGACTGGTGTGGTGTCCGTGACCAGTGCCGACTCGCCGGCGGCGTTACTGGCAGAGCTGGGCAGAGACGCTGCCCCAGCGCGGGTCCCGGGGGCAGAGCGCTCCTGGCAGCGGCTCCGCACGCAGACGGGGCTGAAACCTGCCCCGAGCAAGTCCATACAAAACCCCGGTGCCGTGGGGAGCGGGCAGAGCACCCCAAGGCCCAGCAGACCCCGCAGGCAAGCTGGGGGGCAGCAGCCAGGGGCATCTCCTGCGGCACCTGCCCGGAGCTGGGGAGGGAGGGCAAACACTGCGACAGTCCCCAGGGAGAGGCAAAACCAGGGAAATTGGTACAAAACAGGGTGACACAAAGAGCTACGCAAAATGCCCGGCCCATGGAGAGCAGAAGGGACTGAAGGCACTGGCCCCTCACCACCCCGGGGACACACAGGGACACCCCACAGGCTTGGGTGGCAGTTCTCGAGCAGAGGGTTCGGGGCAGGTACTGGCACCACGGGGTCCCGTTTCGGCCGCCGGCAGCACCGGGTGCCAACGGCTGCCTGTGGACCCATGGGGGCTGCTCACAGCAACGGGCAGCCCCGGCGCCTCTTGTTCTTCCGGACCTGCAGCCCTGCACGGGTGGCCATCTCGAAGACCTCCCGCACGCCCTCCTTGGTCTTGGCTGAGCACTCGAGGTAGCCGAAGGCGTTGATCCTGTTGGCCATGTCCCTCCCCTCCTCCGGCTTCACCGGCTCCTAGAAAGCATTAAAAACATAGAATCATAGAATCATTCAGGTTGGAAGAGACCCTTGGGATCATCGAGTCCAACCATCTCCCCTACTCTACAAAGTCCTCCCCTACACCATGTCCCTCAGCACTGCATCTAAACGGCCCTTAAACACAGCCAGGGATGGGGCCTCCCCCCCCTCCCTGGGCAGCCTGTTCCAATGCCCGACCACTCTTTCGGTGAAAAATTCCTTCCTAACGTTCAATCTAAACCTCCCCTGTTGGAGCTTGAAGCCGTTCCCTCTCGTTCTGTCACTAATTACCTGTGAGAAGAGCCCAGCACCAACCTCTCTACAGTGTCCTTTCACGAAGTTGTAGAGAGTGATGAGGTCTCCCCTCAGCCTCCTCTTCCTCATACTAAACAGTCCCAAACATACTAAACATCCCCAGAAAATATCAGCAAAAGCACAGTGACCGCGCTTGGGGCATCCAACCCTTAGTGCCAGGACCCAGCACGACAACGGGGAGCCCCAGTGAGGTGGCACGGGGTGAGAGGGGCCACTGGCCAAGGCAGCGGGACCCGGGGCCACCCCCCACCTGCTTCATCTTCGCCAGCTCCCGCCGCGTGTGCTCATCGTTCCGCAGGTCCTTCTTGTTCCCCACCAGGATGATGGGCACGTTGGGGCAGAAGTGCTTCACCTCCGGCGTCCACTTCTCGGGGATGTTCTCTGCAACAAGCACACGTAGACCCCCCTGAGCTGAGGGGCTGCTCCCCCCTCCCCCGACCCCTTAGCAGCCACAGGAACCGGTGCTGGCCTTTTCCCGTGGGGAGAGCTTGCTCCACAGCATCCTCCTCCTCTCCCACCACCTCCACCAAGCCAGCAAGTCCCCAGTGTTTTCCCGGAGCACACACAAGGCCAGGAGATGGATGGGAGGGACTGGCATCCCCCAAAGGGGCAGCACGGGGGCTTCCCCGACCCCGGTGGGGTTTAGCAGCAGCACCCCATCCCGGGGAGCCCCAGGTTCTCCCTCACTCCCTGGTCCCTACCAAGGCTATCCGGGCTGTCGATAGAAAAGCACATGAGGATAACGTCTGTGTCCGGGTAGGAGAGTGGCCGCAGCCTGTCGTAGTCCTCCTGTCCTGCCGTGTCCCACAGGGCCAGCTCCACCTGGGAGGGGAGAGGATGGGGCTCAGCAGCTCAGCAGGAGCCAGTGGGTTCATCTTCCTCACTTACAGCTACGGTCTTCCTCAAACTGGGGCAGGTTCAGGGTGATCCAGAAACGTGGGAGCTGCCCCGAGCCCCACAGACCACACACTTGGTGGTGGCCCTGCCAGCATGGGACTGTGGGATCAAGGGGACAGGAACAGCTCCAGCCCCCCGAGATGGTCCTCACCTGCTTCCCGTCCACCTCTATGTCAGCGATGTAGTTCTCGAACACGGTGGGGACGTAGACCTCGGGGAACTGGTCCTTGCTGAAGACGATCAGCAGACACGTCTTGCCGCAGGCTCCATCCCCCACGATCACCAGCTTCTTCCTGATGGCTGCCATCGCTGCAGGGACAAGAGCAGGTGAGGGGGACAGAGCAGCCATGGGCAGCCCACGCTCCCAACCTCCCCCCAGCCCCCCAACACCCCAAAGTCTCTCACACGACTGCCCAGGAGGGTACCAGACACGGGCACCGGGGCACAGCCAGCGTGAGCAGCCGGTGACAGCCAGGACAGAGGTTCTCCCAGCCCATGTCACGCACAACACCACCTTCCACCTGGGCACCAGCTCACTGGCACTGCAAGAACCAGTCCAACTGGAAACATCTACCTCCATCACCATGGCCAGGAGAACTGTCACCCTGATGCCCCACCACCGTGGCCAGGAGAACTGTCACCCTGATGCCCCATCACCGTGGCCAGGAGAACTGTCACCCTGATGCCCCAGCCCTGGTGAGTGCCGAAGCCTGTGGGCAGGACCCGTGCGAGACGTGGAGCTGCTCTGCCTGAACCCACCCCGCTGGCAGCACGGCCACAGCCACCCACCCCTCCCACGCTGGGCTTTCATGATGGGCCACCACCCAAACGGCTTTTCCTGGGTTGCACACACCCACTGGTTTTATTCCAGATTAGAAATTCTCCAGGGCAGAAACTGTACTCCATGTTTCACCCGGGCAGGCTCACCGCCTCCCAAATAATCCCATCAGTGACAGGAACGTGCCAAGCCGAGCTCTTGGAGGTCTGGGCAAGCACGACCTGCACGCCTGGCACCCGGAGCCGGGCTGGCCCGGTCCCAACCCCTGTGACAAAGGAGCCTTTGCCACAGAAGGGCTGAGAGCTGGCGCTGGCACCGGGGGACGCTGCCAGCCATCGCTCAGCAAACAGAGCCCAAGCCCTGCGGTCCCCCCTTCTGCCCCAGGTGAAAAGGACCATCCTGCAAGTGGAACTGCACCTTCACACTTCAAAAGGAGATCACAGCCCAGCCTGGGAATTGCCCGGGATGCTGCCATGGAACGTCTGCCATGGCATCTCAACGAGGCATGAGAAAACCAGCCGTGGAGGGATCACATCCCTCCCCATCCAAAATCTCTTTCCCATCCCCAGCTTCCCCGTTGCTCCAGTCCAAAGAGCCCAAGGTTGGGAAAGCCCGGCCATCGCAGGCTTTGCATCTCAGCGAGCTCCAACAGCCTGTCCCCTCCCTCCCGGGGTGACCACCCACACCCGTCCGAAATAAAAAGCAGGAAAAGAGGAAAATCCCCAGTAAGGCTGCATCATAATTAGCTGCAAGTGAAGGATTAAGAAATTAGACTCAGGGGTTGACTCACATCTCAAAGGCAGCCTGGAGAGAGCTCCTCTCCTCTGCACACCCAGCAGGTCCCCGCTGAGCTCCTGCCTGGAGGATCCTCCTGGGGGAGTCTCGGGGACCACCCCAGCTCCCACAAACCAAACTGCCCGACTGACCGTGGGGCTGGGGCACAGGAGAGAAAGGTTTCACCCAAATCCGGGCCAGATCCCACCACAGCCCCAGGTCTCTGCAGGCGAAGGAGCACTTTGGCTCACAAGCCGGAGCAGGAATGGTTCGTGGCGGCTGAGCACCGTGGAGTCATTAATAAAACTAGTAATGAGGTACTTGTACGGGGAGAAGAGCAAGTACGAAGGGCCATGTCTGGCAGGATCTGGTGCTCCTCAGCGTTAAGCACACATCCCTGTGGGACAGCCCACCTGTACAGGGGGTGAGCACGTTGGTGCATCACTAAAGTTGAGGAAAAAACCTGAAGTGCCCACTGCTGAGGCTGAGCACGGAGGAAAAACCCTGGCACAGCTCCTGTCCCCTTTCCTTGTGCCCTCCGGCTCCTGTCCATCCCAGCATGGCCAGGGCTGGCCACCAGCCCCCAGCACGGGCAGCTGGCTGGGGGTCATCCATGGAGACCTGGTGTTTGTGTTGTGGAGGCAGATAAAAGGGCCGGAGGAGTCTGCTGTCTCCAGCCACTCGAGGAGGGAAAGCTCTCAAGGATGGTGTATCCCTGGAGACACAAGACACCCGTCACCCCCACCACAAACCACCCTCCTCCGAGCAAAGCCTCATCCCCTCTCCAGCCGCCACCTCCACAGCATGGAAAAAGGAGAGCTCGGGCAAAAAAAGTCCGTTTACTTAGGAAGTTCCTTTGCCCACAGGAAACTGTGATTTGCTGCTTTGTGACTCCGTCAAACGGAGGAGGGACGGCGGTGTGGGAGGCACTAATCTCATCACGGAACACAGAAGGAGACACATCTGCAGCACAAGGAACAGCAAATGCTCGGGGAGACAAACCCCCACTCCCAGACAGACACTGAGACCTGCCCGTGCCCCGTCTGCCCATCACACCTCAAACAACAACCAGGGGAGCTCACAGTGCGGAGCAGCACGGCCAGGACGGCGGCAACTGCTGGAGGAACCAGGGATGCTCCAACCCAAGAAGGGTCACTGCACCCAGAGCTCCTTCCCACGGCCACCGGTGTCCACCCTGACCCGGGACGGCTGCGGGTGCCAGCAGCTCCCGAGCTCGGCGTGACGCCGAGCGGTGACTCAGTGGGCAGAGGCCCCGTCCCCACCCAAAATCTCAGCACAACTCATTCCATTACTCACGAGAGTGGCCCAGAAATAGCCCATTACTAACGCAGCGTGCAGGGGGGAGCGGGGTGAGGAGGCTGCGTGCTCCCCAGCGGGGCTGCCCCCTCCGTGCCCCCTCGCCCCACGAGCCAGCGGCACCGCACCGGCCCCAGAGGCCAGTGGCACTCGGGGAGGGATTAGCTCCTCTGCCAGGGGAAGCTTTGTCACTCAGCAGGACGAGGCCAGGCCCTAGGACAGGGGAGCCCGATGCAAAGAGCCTCATGCTGTTCCCAGACTGTGAGTGGATGAAGGAGAGTGGAAAATGTGGAGCTGAATTGAGGAGGAGAGCTTTCCTGCAACTGCTGGCGGGGCAAATGATTAACAGGACACAGTTGCCCACATCAGATGTAGAAATTCAGATTTTAAACTATGCCAAGTGTTACCCACCCGGGTCACAGAATCACAGAATTATCTAGGCTGAAGAGACCCTCAGGATCATCGAGTCCAGCCATCCACCCTACTCTAAAGTTCTCCCCTACACCACATCCCCCAACACCACATCTAAACGGTTCTTAAACACAGCCAGGGATGGGGACTCAACCCCCTCCCTGGGCAGCCTCTTCCAAAGCCCGCCCACTCTCTCTGTGAAGAACTGTTTCCTAAAACAGCAGAGGGTGCCCATCCACAGGGCCATCACAGCCGGCCCCACAGCAGCCACAGGGTTTTGGGTGTGAGCAGTACTTTGGGTGGTACCTCCCTGGAGATTCCTCCTGCTCATCCACAGAGATAACGACACCGGCACCACCAAACGCTGCCGGGCTGGTGGGCACTGGGGATGGGCAGGGGCTCGACCCGTGCCATCGCTGCCAGCCGTGCCCACAGTGACAGCACCCTGACCCCGAGCCCACAGCTCCCCCAGCACACCAAGAAATTGCAAAACAAGATCAAATTGCTCCACTTTGCTTCCCAAGCAGCTATTCTGAGGCCATCTCCACCACAGCAGGCAGGGCTCCAGGACAGCCCTGGCGCTATTGGCCTCCCCCAGCTTCGTGCCTCAAAATGTGAAGTTCCTGCCCAGCAGGAAAAGGGGAATTCCTCTGGCAGCAGGATGTGCCTGTCATCCAGTGTCTGCTCGGGGATCTCAGGAAATGGCAGGGAAAGAGGTTAAGGCTTTGAAGGAGGAATCGAGCGAGGGACAGGAATCTTTCAACGAACCTCCCTGGCGAGGCTGGAGCTCCCGGAGCCAACAGAGGGGTTTTGTTCCCAGGCACAAATTCCCAAACTCTGCTGCTGCTGCCGACTCCACCCCGGCCGGACCCGTCGCACCACCCGCAGCCAAAACAGCTCATTTCTGCTCTGCCACAGCCCTGCCCAGAGGCACAACCCCAAAGCCAGGGCTGGGGGGATGAAGCCAGGCTGGGGAGCAGCCCCTTCGCAGGGACACCCCCTTTGCAGGGACACCCCCTTTGCAGGGACACCCCCCTGTCACATCAGGGCCGGCTCCCCCCCATACATCCCACTCCAAACAAAACCTCCTCCTCCTGAAGGAGCAGAGGAGAGTGGAGTGAGGAGGGTCACCCCCCTGGCCCTCGAGCAGCTGCTGCCATCGCCCCAGTGATCTTCTTGGCCATCAGAAGGAGAACCAGCTCGGGGCTCATGTTCCTGCCACCCAGCATCTCCTTACCCACTGCCTGGCTGGATGATCAGAAAATGCTTCTCTGCCCCACCAGCCCTCTCCCTTCACTCCCCTCGGACTTGGAGGCTCAGGGAACAACCAGCTCATCACCCTCCAGCCCTGGCACCCACCCAGACCCCCTGGCACCGCGACACAACCACAGAAGGAAAACCAGACCGAGACCTTCCTGGCGTTGCTGTGTCTTTGGCTCTGCTAAACTTCTCAATGGTTTCACAAACAAAAGCATCCCAAGTGCTCGGTTGGACTGGTTTGATTTAACTCTCCCCTGGGCTAACGCAGCAGGGAGCGGGCTCCAGGCACATCACAGCATCTCAAACATCTCAAACAACACCCCAAAGACACCCCTCCAGCCCAGGCCGCGCAGCCCCCACCACAGAGGGGACCCGAGGCCGCTCACAGCATCCCCGGAGCGGGGAACTCAGACGCTGTTTTCTCCCCGGCGCAGCCAAGGACAGGCTGTCTCCACTTCTAAACATGGCCCTGTGTGTGCACAGGGCTGCTGCTGCCACCGCCCCGCACGCCAGGCCAGGGCACCTCGGGACAGGCTAAACATGGCCCTGTGTGTGCACAGGGCTGCTGCTGCCACCGCCCCGCACGCCAGGCCAGGGCACCTCGGGACAGGCCCCCGGAGAGGAGCCACTGGGCAAACAAAAGCCGCTTTGGGCAACCCCAGGCCACCGCAGGTGCTGCCGTAGCCCCAGGGGCACCTCTCTCCAGACCCCCCCCCAGCAGCTCTCCTCCTGCCCCACCGACAGCTCATGGCTCCCATCAGCACAAGCTGGGACCCCCCGAAAAAGTGTGTGTGAGTCAAGGTCACAGCTGTCCCCGGGTTAAAGTCGTTGGAAGGGGGTGGAAGGCGTTTGGGGACAGAATGGCAGAGGCACAGGGGTCACCAAAGAGACCCCCCCCTCACAGCAGAAACGGCTGCAGCTGTGGGACTCGCTGGCACAGCTCCTGCAGCCAAAAACAGGGTAAACACCCAAATTAACATCGGACAGGAATGTCCATCGAGGGGAAATTAATCTGCTGAGACACGTACATCGTGGGCAGGGTAGCAGAGGAGGAGTGTCCTGGGTATCAGAGGGACTCTCATGTAGAAGAAAGTTCTGAAAAGGGCTTGAAGTGAAGAGCAAAGGGAAGAACAGGACTCCCCCAGCACCCCCCTGCCCCCCCCAACCACTGCCAACCCCAGGCACCGAGTGCCGAGGGAAGGGGCTGCATTTCCCCCCAGGAAAGCTGCCTGAAACCTTCTTAGGACCTGGACCTGCCGTACCCAAATGACAAGCGATCATCAAAAAAAGGAGCTGGAACTCAGTGCTTAATTTTTTCCTAAAACTGAGGAGGGAAACTCCCCAATTTTCTTTGGGGAGGGGGGATCAGCCAGCAGCGAAGCGCAGCTGCCCAGCCCCGAGCACAGCAGCCAGGCTGGCTTGTTTTCATTGCTAAAGCCACAAAAAACATCCACAAGCAAAACAGAGCAAGGGACTTGGAAGAGAAGAATTTGAAAGCCTAAACAAAGCTTGAACCACAAGTGCCTGAGCTCCGTGGGAGAAGGCTGCCTGCCCTTACCTCCTCCTTTTCCAGAGGACATCATGCCATGTTCTTATTTTACCTCCCGCGGAAGTGAGAGCCTCCCCGGGCTCAGGGCAGACAAGTGGCTCACTGAAAGCTTCAAATAACAGGCCACAATCTCAGGAGCTGCCTGTGCTTGGGCAATGCCCGACTGCCGCTGCCCCGGGGCCGATCAATATTTGCTAATACATTCCTTACTTTTCATGTCAATACGCCTCTCCAGTGCAAACAGCAAGTTAGGAGGTGAGCCTGGTTTAAACGCTCCCGATAACCTGTTGGAAGACAGTGACTTGGCTTATTTTCCACTTTAAAAAAAAAAAAAAAAACAACAACAAAAAAACCCAAAACGTTTCCCTGGAGAAGCTGGAGTTGTCAGGAACAGGGATTCAATCTGAAGTCCGTGAAATCTCAGTGTCTCCACCCCCACTGCTCGGGGCTGAGGAGGAGCTGAGCACAAACTGAAACTCTTTGGACACCAAAAAGCACTCGGGCAAAATGAAAATAAAATGCCACCGGTCTCGGTGAGACGCAGAGAGCCAAAGCCACCGCCTCCCCGTCTCCGGCTGCGCACCCCCAGCACCTCAGTGGGGGTCCCTGCCCACCCCCCATATCCTCTGGAAGCCACCCAGGATCACGCTCCCAGTTTCCTGGGGGTGTGGAGAGGCCGAGGCTGGATTTAGGGGGGGGGGGTGGCGGCCGCTGGGAAGATTTGGCTGCGGGATTGTTAGTGCTGGAAAGGGCCGCGCAGTCATGCTTTTGGAATGCTCCCTTGCTCCGAAGACATTACACAATTATTTCTCCTCCCCGCAAGCCCCCCTAATATAAATGTTTAAAAATGAGCTCAGCAGTAAGCAAAGGGAACTTTTTTCCTTTTTCTGAAGAAAACACCGAGAGGCTGCACCACGAGCGAGGCAGCGCATGGGGACGCTGTCGGAGGGGGGTGTGTGGATGGGGGGACGGGGCAGCAGCCCCCCGGGCTCTCACCCCAGCCTGGCCCGGGTCTGTCACTGGTTGGGGGGCAGCGGGGAGCCCCACCTGGGTGGCACCCACAAGTTGGGACCCACAACCCAAGGCTGCCCTCGAGGGACAACCCACAGTGGCCAAACTGCTGCTGACCCATCCCTGCTCCACACCCAGGGACCCCCACCCCAGCCCAGGGGTCCCACCCTCTCCCACTGCACCCCACTCAGCCCAAGTGGGGCACCCACCCTGCTCCCCCCAGCATGCCCTGGACCCCACACCCCACCAGTACCC